GGCTGGGGCAGCTATTCTGAAGACTAGCCTGATACTTCTTAGGTCAACTAAGTAACCGTATCGTAAGCAGCAGCAATTCTGCCTCTGGATATCTATCCAAAAGAAATTCCCACACTATGAGAATGGATAGGGAAACTGGTGGATTAGGGAGACTCAAAAGTTGGAAAATTTTAGTTTAAGGCCACAGTTAATAAACCTAGTAGTTAATGCATATGAAAAGCTATTGTTTCAGGAACTGCAGGTAGGCCCACCTGGACCCCAGGAGACCACAGGGGTTGATCTTTGTGCTCCATGAGAGACCATAAGCAATCGAGATGGCATTTGAGCCATTGTGTTCCAGGGAGAGACAGATGATTGCCTGGGGTACAGCTAAGTGGCCAGGGACAGAATTTTGCAGGGGTTTTTTTTTTTAATCTAATTTTTCCTGAATTCCAAACACCTCACCACATTTTCTCCTCCGTTATAAAAAGCCTGGCTTGAAAGGAAATGTAGGATGGTCTGTTAGGGTACAAACCCACTGTCTTCTCAGCTCCTGGGCCATCTAAATAAAATGCCCATAGAGACTCATTCCCTGCCTCTGCTTATTGGGTCTAGTAGGTGACAGGTAACCCGAACACTGGCTTTTCCAGTTTCAAGTGGAGAACTCTGTAACATTAAGTGGATTAAATGGGATTTAAATATCATATAAAAATGGGAGTAACTGAAAGAACTTTGTCAGTGAAGAAATGAAACCAAACAACCACCACCAAATCCAAACTGTTAACCAAATGTATTATCTTTTTTTAACAGCAAAATTGCCTTATGGGAAAAATGCTCGCAATAAAGATGCTTATGGCAAAAATAATGGACAGTAATAAGTCACATCAGCTGGGGAGTCTATTTGGTTCTTTGAGATGATTACATTTCTCTGGTCTAATCCTGGCCCCACCAAGCTGTTTATACCTCATCTTTATGTTTATTGTCTGCCTTTATTTCTAAATTCTGGTTATATTCTCCCTCCTTTCCACAGTGATTACAGAGCCTAGATGAACCAGATTGAATGAAACAGGCATCGCCAGCTTTGGTTTCTGTCATGTCATGGCTTCAGTCTTCCACCTAGATCTCCTCTGATTGTCAAAATGTTCGTATGGTCTAAGGAAAAATTCTCAGAAACATTAGAGATGAGAAAATTGAACTTTGGTAAAGCTAGAATTTGCCATGGTTCATATAGCCTACAGTATCTATCTATCTATAATCTATCTATCTACCTACCTACCTACCTACCTACCTACCTACCTACCTATTATCTATCTATCATCTCTGTGTCAACCTACCTATCAATCAATCTGCCTACCTATTATCTTCTGATTGTTTTGGAGGAAACTATACATGCTTATTTTAAGCAATTCAAACAATTTAGAAATGCTCACTGAATATAAGAAACACCTATACATCATTCTTAAACTTTTATGAACTTTTTTTCTGATAATTCTCTATACATCCATACATATTTATATATACTAGTAACACTGCATATATAATAATTCAATTCTTTGGGCTCAAGTAGAGAAATAACATGTACATTAAAAGCTAGAATATAAAGTTCAGAGTGAAACCTTTCAAAGGAAGAAAATAAGAACATAGTGGATGACTCAGAGGCATCTAGCCTGGGTGCCTGAGAGGACAGTGCTGCTGCTATTCAGAGAAATGGGGAGCCTGGAAAGAAAAGGTAAGACTTCAAACCAGTCAATTGTGAGATCTGATTACTCAATGGGACACTTAAGTGCCTCTATTACCCTGGTAATGGAGGTAGACCCACAGAGTAAATTCTATATAATCATTTATGTACATTCTACTGGTAGTTCTGAATTCACCCAAGAAGGGAAGAGATAGCAGCCCAGGCTGGCTTCTACTTGGGTGGAAATGAGAAGGAAGTTTTTTTGTTAGCAAAGAGATAAAATAGTATTATATTCCTCACTGTTACAGATAGTTAAAAACTTTTTTTAAAAAAAGCCATTTATTAATGCGAAAAGATACATAATACATATTCTGAAATTTGGCAATATTCAGAAGCTGCATCAGCCAAGACAGAATTCAGTTAAACTATATCGTAATAGCATTTAGTGGATTAGACAGGATGGGAACAGGGTCACTATTAATATTACCGTAAAGAGGATGTATAATTATTGATTTAAGGACAAGATCTTGGAGCAATTTAAGAAGAAAAAAGAAACATAACTATTGATTATAAAATTCAATACTATTAAAAATACAGACCAATCGTACTCAGTAAGACAGGCTGACCAGTTTTTATTCACACATTTTTTTTTTACTCTAAATACTTTGAGAAAATAATCTTTTACCTTTTTCTCTTGTAATATTTTGTATTACAAATTTATTAGGCTCATTCACCTAATTTTTGTCTCACTAAACAAAATTGAACATTATGGTAAACAAATATAAGGTAATGTATATTCAGATTCTAAATACTTTTGTTTCATTGAAAGAAAAAGTGTTACTCAGATCAGTGGTTCTCAAACCTTAAAGGGTGTATCAGAATCACCTGGAGGGTTTGTTTAAACACAAGCTGTTAGGTTTTACCCCCAGAGTTTCTCATTTAATAGGCCTGGCGTGGTTCTAACAAGGTCCCAGGTGATCTGATGCTCCTAGATTAGAGCTCACACTTAGAACACTAGTTTAGCCAGTGGATAGTTTCCTCCCCACTCCTCCCATTGTTCTTTGATTTCTCTTTAAATCTTTAATATGTCCTTCTCCAAAGTATCTCAATGAGGATCAGATCTATTCAATCTACGTTGCCTTTAAAGTTTAAAAAAAATAAAGTCATAGTGACATTTGCAGTTGAAATGCTATCAGTTGCAACTAAGATTTTAAAGGGAAAATGAAACATCTTTAACACCAAATCCTCTGATTTATTTCTCACCTGGACATCTTCACAAACATTATTCTTGCAGCTCTTTCCCTGGTCCCCCCCGCCCCCCCCCCCCCGCCCCCGCCGTCTCCATCCCCATCCCCGGAATATATCTCAGTAGGATGCCAGGCATTCTGCTCTTTATTCAAAGCCTGACACAGCCACGCTTTCCTGTTTCTCAGCAGCCTGTGACTTCTCTCATTACTGTATTCTAGTGGAAGGGTTCCTATGGTAATTATTGTCTATATTTATTAAAATTTTTTATTTTCTACACTTATATTGAATATGTACTACCATGTGATTCAACCATATATGTATGTATATATATACTTTATTTATGATTTTTCTTCTCCATTCTGATAAGCTCCTAGAGGTGTCTCACAACCTTTGACTTGCTGATATCTCCATTGTTAAGCACCATGTTTTAAACCTGGTTCCCCTTCAAGTGTTTGGTTCCAATGAGAGCAGCCAAGTATAGAGACCAATAATGCAACAGCTGGCTTTTCTTTTGGGAGCTGACATAAATTTTCTTTTTCAACTACTATGCAGCCAAATTTAGCTGTAAAATTATAAACTTAGAATGCTGAAAACAGCCCTAGCTGGTGTGGCTCAGTGGATGGATGAGCACCAGCCTGCGAACCAAAGGGTCATCAGGTTGATTCCAAGTGTAGGACACATGCCTGGGTCGCAGGCCAGGTCCCCAGCAGGGAGTGCGTGAAATGCAACCACACACTGTACCACACACTGATGTTTCTCTCCCTTTCTCCCTCCCTTCCCCTCTCTCTAAAAAAAAAAAAAAAAAAAAAAAAAAAAAGAATGCCGAAAACGTCTTACTTGAAAATGTAATTGCTAATAAACTATAACTAGGCTTAAAGATTAGAGGTGTGGACCTACCACATTTCTATTCAAGAAAATTTAGTAGTACAGAGAATGACACTGTATTCTTTACTGTGCAGATATAGAATAATTTGCTTTGCCTTACCAATGATTAAATTATGTTTTCTATATTAATGGTGGATATTCCTTTAGGCCTCTCATTCTAAGCTACAACAGGCTCTATTGGAAAAGTTACATGTCTGAATTGTTACTTGAAGATTTGCTTTTAAGACATTAAGATTATTAATTTGTTTTGCTATTTTAGGGTATTCCCTCTGCATCTGTATTTGCAATGTTGTCACTAAAAGACTATCTCATAGGTCCTTAACTAAATTTTCTTGAATGTAGAACCAAAAAACCAAAATCTAAAAAACATAAGGTACAGAACACCCCTGAGGGGCCTTTTTATTGAACATTAAACACAAAGGAAATCCAGAATACTTTTTATACACTGGCCAGACAACTGCCAAACATTTACAACTGCACCAGGTAACTCATCTCTGACTTAGTAACATACAGAATGAGTGAAAAATAGGTTTAGTTATGAGTACATGACATATTGTTATGACTTACCAGTCATTAATTACTGCGGTACTTTCCTCACAAACGGTGAGCTTATCTTTGCCCCACCCTGTATTCGGATGTTTGTATGGTTAATAACCGGTTTCGACTTTGCAAGTACTCTTGCATCTTAAGTGAGCCTATCACAAAACTGCATCCTATGTTCAGGCCCTTAAAGCCACCTGGCCCACTCCCTCACTTAAGGGCTAGAAGTGAAGCCCAGATTTCGAGAATCAACGATCAGGAGGCAGAACTCCCATCTAGACCGTAAGTCTACGGCAGCCTTCCCACTTTACTTAAATGTAGCAAAACTGGAGATTGAGATAAATCGACCCTTCATGATTTTTCACTTTCCACAAGCTAGTTTAACAAGCGATAACACGCCGAGAAACCTAACACACTATTTCAGCCAGTGACATAAAAGCACAGGTTCTTAAAACTGGAAAGTAAAGCGAAAAGGAGCCCTTAAAACTTGGGTAGAACCATAGGCAGCACTACACACAAACGCACGCTTCCCTCTAGTGTAAAGTGGTGTCCCGAAGGTAATTACCCACACTACAAAACAAGTGCACAACAACTCCTCCAAAACCTGTATGGGTGGCCCTAAAAAGGGCCTTTGAGATTGCCGCCATGTTTAAGGCTTTAACGGGCATTTAACCTCCAAAGCCATAGAGGGTGCGTCCCTGTCGCTTTAAAGCGTACACCACGTCCATAGCAGTGACCGTCTTACGCTTGGCGTGCTCCGTGTACGTTACAGCGTCCCGGATGACATTCTCCAGGAACACCTTCAGCACACCTCGGGTCTCCTCGTAAATGAGCCCGGAAATACGCTTGACTCCTCCACGCCGAGCAAGACGACGGATAGCTGGCTTGGTGATGCCCTGGATATTGTCCCTCAGAACCTTGCGGTGGCGCTTAGCTCCACCTTTGCCCAAGCCCTTACCTCCCTTGCCCCTGCCAGACATAGCTACCACAACCTGAGAACCCAAGCCTCAATGCCCGAGAGAACAGCTCTGCCTGATATACAGGATTATCGGACCGGATTGAAAACCTCAAGCGCATGGGCGGGAAGCAGTCGAAATTTCCCCCTCCCCTCCAGTTTCCCTTTTCTCACGTGTCCTATCCCTTCTCCGCCCCCACCCCCGCCCACTGCCCTCTAGCGGACCCTGTCTGCCACAGTCAGATCCCAAGCCCCGGCTTCCCGATGCCGCCGTTGTTTTCCTCCGGATCCCGCCAACCGGGGTGCTCCCCCGAGACACTAAATTCAGGCGAAGAGCAAGGGTCTTTCTCGGAGAGACTAGAAGAACAAATGGAATCGAGATGGAAAGGAGATGAGAACGCAAGCCCCGGGTCTAATCCCAAGAGGATCCCAGGCTTTAGACTGGTTACAGGAAAGGGCCACAAGCAGTTGGGATAGTTAGCCTGAAAGACGGACTGGGCCATCTCCAGATCGGCACCTGGGATGTCGAGGAAGAGAGGAGGGGGAGGTCTGGTGTTGAGTCTAGCCTTTGTTTTGGTGGTATGAGGCCTGGGATTTCACCTCACCTGGGAGAAATGAAATCCTGGTCTCACTATATTGCCAAACCTTTCTCATGGTCAGTGAATCCAATGTACTGTAGTCCAAACTTCTCGTAAGAGAAGCAATATATACAGAAAGAAGACTGAAGGATATTCTGTAACTCTTTCTAGATCCTCTAAAATCGACGCCTGTTTTCAGCCAGGATTTTGTTTCAAATTGAGGCCTCACATAGAGCCCCAAAGTTCGCTGAAATGGGTTTTGCAAAAGGGAGGACACCTGCTCCATATTGAATTGTTACTAGAAAATGCCCTGTGAAGTTGATTGGGATACTTACTGATAGCAGTTCATTACCAGGGCCTTCTGTAGGCGAATCCACGGGAAGATATAGTTTCTCCTCAGAGAGAATTAAGTTTTATTCTGAGAAAGGTTTATTTATTTAAACATCTTATGTGCCTTCTTTCATCTCTCCTTTGGTTCTAACTACTACCTTCTATATGCCAATGTATAGTAATGAATTCCAAATTGTTATCTCTATCCTGATTTCTAGGTTTCAGATATGAGATTGTTCTTTACTCATTTTAAATTCAAAACTCAAACTCTCCAAAAATCAAAATTTAAAATGAAAATATCTAAGGTGCGACTCTCATGGGAGCTGAGAATTGATTCCCCCACTCCTACCTCTTTTCTCAGTCTGTTCACTGAATGATGCCACCGTGCTCACATGTCTAAAACAACACCTTGGAATTCACAGATGTTGAAGGGTAGTAGAACATACCACCCCAAAATAAGACTAGGAGTTCAGGACATGCCAAACCAAAATGCTGCTTTGGTATATTGATTTTTTTGAGCCATAGGTACTTAAAAAACAAGAAATGCAGGAACAGACTTTGAACTCCCCTTATCTGCCTAAAGACAGATCCCCTCAAAAAGCTGAATTGCATGGTCTGAAGAATTAAACTGACATAAGACTGATCAAAAGGAATAAAGCCTGCAAATTTTAATGTTTGCATTTGTACACAGTAGCCTTCAGAAGGAAATTAAGACCTGAAGAGCCCACTTGGCCCAAAAGTTTATACATATCTTTTAAAACAAAATAATTCTGAGGCTTGGGCTGGGACAGTACATTGTGGGACAATAGCTAGGATACATACGGGGGAAGTCATGGAGGATACATGTAATTTTAGTAGGTTGGTTTGTACAGATCCATTTTGATATCAATTCCCTGTCTCTGGTGTGAAGAATATTCTCTTCCTGTACTGGAAGCGTATCTCTCAAACAGGAAATTTTATGAGCTACTTTTAGATAAAAGGGGCAGGTCAGAGAGTCCTTCCTGCACCTGCTGTTTCTCAAGTTCTTTCAGCTCAAAATCAATATACAAAAGTGGCATGTTTCAGGGAAGCATGCTCTGCACCCCATTAAACTCTTATCTGCTATAGGGAAGGCAAAAATTTCACTTCTGCTCTTAGGCTGTGTTTGGCTGGGCCTGAGAATTAAATTGACATGAGACAGTAACTGGAGGAAGCATACAAATTTATTTCCTGTAAGTTTTACTTGCCATGGGAGCCCTCATAAAGAAATGAAGGATCAAAGAGACGGTTAGAGTTGAACACTTACATACTGAACTTGATACAAACTCGTCAATTGGGAAAATGTAACATGACAAAAGGGTTTGAATTAGTATTTCAATGGTGGAAAAGGGACCAGGAAGATAAGTGTTAGTTTAACGAGATTTGTTTGTACAGATTTCTCTCAGCTTTGCACCTGCTGTTTTTCAAGTGCATGTAGCTCAAAATAATCCTTATGCCAAAATGACATATTTTAGGTGTGTCATATTCTGCCACTGATGGGGTTCAGGACATGCTATCCCAAAATATGGCCCCTTAGCAATTAGATATATATTTTTTACATATTAAATGTTTTAAACTGAAGTGGTCTTTCCATGGACCTTCTCCACCGAAACAGGTCATAAAGCCCTCTTGTGAGAGATACCCTCCTTGTATTCAGAGGAAAGGAGCATTCCTATCTTTAAAGGCAAAGGGACACACAGAAGAAGCCTAACAAACCGGCCTTGCTGTTTCCCTCCAGGTTACTATATCTACCTCATGCTCCTTAACCACTCCCATTTTTACACAACTGCTCACTCTTCATTAAACCTAGCATAAAAATACTCAGGTATAACTGTTTCTTCAGGTCTTCATTTCCTTATGAAGATTTCTGTGTCACATAAAACTTATGTGAAATAAGTTTGTATGTTTCCTGTTAATCTGTCTTTGGCAGTTTAATTTTCAGATCCAGCCAGGGACTCTAAGCGGGTGGAGGAAAACTTTCTCCCTCTCTTATACTCACCCTTCACTGTACAGCACAGACACTAGTGTTAAGGACTGGTGGCAAAGGTGGAATTTTTAACCAATGAGCAGTATGTTAAGGGAATGAGTTCATCTCAGAATGGGATAAAAAAAGAAGCTCAAAATCCTATTGCTTCTCAATTTGGCCCAGGACTGCAGGCCACTCAGGACGAAAGGGAATCAGTCCTATGGTCTCATCTTGGTGGTACCTGATGCTCTGGGGTAGTTGAGTCAAGGATTAAATACAAACTGTCTTCCTGGAACACATATTTTAATTTAGTCTATTACTTTTGTATTAACAACAAACCTATGAACAAATAAAACATTAGCAGCCTAATAATTCACCTTTGTAACTTTTTTTTTTTGCCTGCTTATTTCCTACGGTGAATATTAAGCTTCTTAGGCCTGTGTCTCCCCCTCATGGTATTGAATAATAAAGTTTCAGTACCTAATCTTGAAACCACTCATTCTTATTATTTCTGGTGAAAGAAACTTCATAAATATTAGGAAAAAAAATGTTCCCTCTTCCCCCCAGCTGCAGCAAAGCAAAGCTCTTCTGCATTATAAACTTGCTTCTGATAAAGTGGTTATTGAGAAATATCACTGAAATGCCACTATATTTTCCTGTGGGGAGGCTAGGTGAAATTGAACTAACATGGATCTGAATTCTGTTATTAAACATGGTTTCTAAGGCAACCATACATCACAGATTGTTATATTTTGAGAAGTGTTACCTATGTGACAGGATGGTAAAAAGCTAGGGAAATTCCTGACCAAGTGGAATAGGGAAACAGACAAAAGTAAACAAGGCCAAACAGTTTAAGCAACTTAGAGCCTGCCGGTGAATTGCAGGGCTTTATCTCCCCTAACCAAGGATACTTGAGAGTCAATGGTTTATACTGCTCCTCCTTAACCAAAGAATGCATAGTTTAAATGTCTTTGGTCTGGGAAAATAGAGAACAGAGATCCAACTAATGTCATTTGTGCCAGCTAAATCCAGATGCAGTCAGGAGAACCCCATTAAAAGTCAGGCAGACCCAAGATGAAAGTAAAACAGTGTGAGAGATCAAAGAATATTCCCAAACCTCCCTGTGGCTCATTTAGATGTATCAGCATGTGAAAAATGCACTAGAAAAGCTAATGAGTATTCTGCTAAAACCCTCCCCTACAATTCTCACCCACAGAAAAAAGACAAGCCCTCAGGACAAAGACTCAGGACTGCTAGTTGTAGAGCATGCCCCTGTCCCTTCCCAGCCATGAACTTTTTACTTCCTCCTTAACTCCAAGGGTCCCCAGGAGACTTGCAGCCAGGGAACAATGGGCAGCGACAGCTGGATCTGGGTTTGCTCCCGATCCTGTCTCCAAGACCTCCTTTTCCCCTCACTTCCCTGTGAGCTAACAGCAGCCCCGCTGGCTTACAACTCCTTTCCTATAATTTTTCTAGGAAGCCAAATGAGAGCACAGCCTAGGCTCTCTCCTGTTACTTCTACCCGAAGTCCTTCCTTTGTTTCATTGTCCGCAGCCTTTATAAACGTACTCTCAAAATCACCCGGACTCGTGAAATCTTTTCTACACCAAGTCAAGGACTCACACACTGCAGGACATCCTGAGGCAGACCTGTTTCAGGCTGGTCCCTGTCTAATAACACACCCACCTCTTAAAAACTGACTATTCTGATTGATTACTGTATTTGATTTATTGCCCTGGAATTAATATTTAAATTTGCCTCTCTTTTCTGAGAAGTAAAAATTTTTATACAACTTCTTTATTAAGTTCGAGGAAGAGTCTTGGAATTTTCTATGTTCTAAAGGTAAAATAAATCCCATGATTTTTGGATTCTATATGAATATGCAGCTCGAGAATCTTTTTCTTATATAGAATGCATACAGAGGCAAGAGCACATACATTGAAAAAAAAGAACAACAACCCCCACAATCCCCCGGAAAACAAAACCAGAAAACACTAGAAAGAAATGTGACATTTGGACTATCCTCCAGACATCATAGATAGTTTCTTCTGATTGGAATAGTTCAGTAGAAGAAGTTTGAGAAACATTGAGTGATCTGATTACATGATGGGAAAGTTCATCAGTGTTTTAAAAAGTACCCCAAATCTGATGAAACTGGAAATCCATTATAATTTCATTCTCTTGCTGTAGAATATGCAGGCCTACTTACTTACCTGAGACAAGTCATAATCTCTCTGAGACTCAGTTTCTTTAACTGTAAAATGAGGAAAATAACATCTATTTCACAGAGTTGTGATTAAATGTGATGGCATATATAGAAGAATTTAAAAGCACTGATTGGTGCTCTCTATATGTAAGGCATAATTACAAACCACCATAAGAAGGGGTAAGAGTTACTTACATCAGTTACACTTTTGCATGACATTTTAGATCTTTTCCCTAGAACAGGAGATTGCTGCTGTCCAAGGGGACTCTTGAAGATATAAAGATACCAAGTTTTTACGTTGGGTTTAGTGTTCAGGAAATCCTCTCACAATCACTTATTTTATTTGACTTCAGCAGGAAGATGATCATTCATATTGACATCAAGGTAAGTTTTTAAGCTTTTTTGGCCTGCTTTTGTTCTCAGGTTTGAGTTTTTATAAGGTTTGCGAAGATTCAGTGCTCTTTCAATAAAATAAGCAACTGTTTCAAAGTTTTATATTTCTTACAACTTTAAGCATTGGTAAGCTTACATCAGCGCTGTTTTATGACATGCAATTTTCTGAGCAATGTTTCAAAACACATGAAATACCTAAATAACGTCTTTGATCTTAAATTTCCTTATAGAGAGAACTTTTAAGCATTAGAAAATACCTTATTGAAAGACATATGCTAGCAACTTAGTAATCAACAAATAATTTATTTGCTTTGAATCTTTAACTTTTAGTCTGACTGAAAAGTAACTGGACTATTTAGAAACTATTCACCATTGTAAAGAGGAAATTAATATCTCTGGTCTTGTTTTCCTTGACTTAGTTCTCGTCCTAATTGGTTATTCAAATGGACTGAGGAGGAGGGAACGGCACTCCAGGGAGGACAGGCTACAGAAAGGCAGAAGACTCTGCTCTGCAAGTTTGAACAGCATAGGCTTTGCAGGGATTCAGAAGTCCGATGAGCGCAAGTTTAACTTTTGGTTCCTTCAATTAACTATTGTTCTGCCGAAATTCAGTCATAGTCCGCGTTGCACAGTGCCAGGCACTAAATAAATATTAACTATGGGAAAGGAATTACAGTAACTTGTGACTGGAAATACAGGCTGAAACCTAGTTCATGGGAGGGCATGCAAAAGAGTCTGTTAAAATATAAGCTCCAAGTGTGCCTTTATAAAAATTACACCAATTTATGCCCTGGCTGGTGTAGCTCAGTGGATTGGGTGCCGGCTTGCAAATCAAAGGGTCACAGGTTCGGTTCCCAGTCAGGGCATATGCCTGGGTTGCAGGCCAGGTCCCCAGTAAGGGAGCATCCGAGAGGCAACCACACATTGATGTTTCTCCCCGAGCCTTTCTTCCTCCCTTCCCCTCTTTCTAAAAATAAATAAAATGATGAACTTAAAAAAACGAATTACACCAGATGGCTCAGTTAGAGTGTTGTCAGGTACATGGGAAGGTTGCGGTTCCAATTCCCCGTCAGGGCACATAACTAGGCTACAGGTTCCATCCCTGGTTGGGGCACATACCTAGGTTGCTGGTTCCAATGTTTCTTTCCCCCTTTCTCTAAAACCAATAAGCATATAAGAATATCCTCGGGTGAGAATTAAACATAAAAAATTACACCAATTTAAGGGGAAGATCTTTTGTAAAGAGATTAGTGTAACAATCTTCAATCCCAGTAAGGATTGAATTCTAGCCAATGAGATCACAGTTCTGAAAATTCCTAGTAGCTTTCTGGCCCAATCAAGGCGAGGTTGTGTGTATAAATTAGCCTGTCTAGGGCTCGTGGGATAAAAGCAGCAGTATCATGGCGCGTACTAAGCAGACTGCACGGAAGTCGACCGGTGGCAAGGCGCCGCGTAAACAGTTGGCCACCAAAGCGGCCCGCAAGAGCGCGCCGGCCACGGGTGGCGTGAAGAAGCCGCATCGCTATCGTCCGGGTACCGTGGCGCTGCGCGAAATCCGCCGCTACCAGAAGTCTACTGAGCTGCTGATCCGCAAACTGCCCTTCCAGCGCCTGGTGCGAGAGATTGCACAAGATTTCAAGACTGACCTGCGTTTCCAGAGCTCTGCGGTGATGGCGCTGCAGGAAGCGAGTGAGGCATACTTAGTGGGGCTCTTTGAAGACACCAATCTGTGCGCTATCCACGCTAAACGCGTGACCATCATGCCTAAAGATATCCAGCTGGCCCGCCGCATTCGCGGGGAGCGGGCTTAATGCGTACAGTCTTAAGCATAACACCCAAAAGGCTCTTTTCAGAGCCACCCACGTTATCTTAAAAAGCAGCTGTACCAGTTTTTACCTTGCGTCAAATTGCACCATACACCGGTGTTGTGGATATAGAGTACGTTTATTAAAATTTCTTTGGCTCTATCAGGTGTTAGTACCTTCAGTGCTATTGCAAAATGTCAGCATCAATCTGAGCGCAGAAATTGACACCTTTTGAAAGGCAACACTAACTTCGGATCGTAGTCTGGGCTTTAAGTTGCTTTTAGAGCCCTATCGGCTGTTAGCTAAAGCCCTCGTTTCCCCAGACAGGTCGCCAGGGTTTTAACTGATAAGAATGGAGTAGGAGACCTCGTAATGAGTTAAGAGGTGTGTAAGATCCCTAAGACGGGCAGGAACAGAGAAGTTATTTAAAAAATATTACTAAGCCTTTTGTTGGTTTGTGTTTAAGAATATAAATGCAATTTCTACTTCAGTATGTTTCTCACTGCAAAATACGGGTAGCGCAAATCGGAATGGGAATTTCAGGGAAGGTTAATACCCTGGAGATTTAAAAAAAAAATGCATAAAGCAAAACTGCAAGAATGATAGTTAACTTGTCTTTAACCGGCGCTGCAGATCTCTTCCATACATAAATCTACAAGGAAAGTGAAATCCGAACAGCAAAGAAGCCCCAAACCAGAAACTATCAGTTGACATAATTTCCTGGTTAGTGTGAAATAGAACATTTTGATTGGCTAACAAGACTTTGTTCTAATGACCACTGAGGGAGAGCGAGCAGTCGCTTATTTACAGGGGCTCCACCTCTATGACGCCACTGTTGGAGTTCAACCAATGAAAATTTATGTTTGTGCGAGTCTTCATTTGCATGTAGGCTCTATAAGAAGGGCGCCGCTAACCTTGCTGTACTCGCGGTTGGTTCTACGGGTGAGGTGTTTTTCGTTTTGTGGAAATGCCGGATCCAGCGAAATCTGCTCCTGCTCCCAAGAAGGGCTCTAAGAAAGCTGTTACGAAAGTGCAGAAAAAGGACGGGAAGAAACGCAAGCGCAGTCGGAAGGAGAGTTACTCCGTCTATGTGTACAAAGTGCTGAAGCAAGTTCATCCGGACACCGGTATCTCGTCTAAGGCCATGGGCATCATGAACTCCTTCGTCAACGACATCTTCGAGCGTATTGCCGGTGAGGCCTCCCGTCTAGCGCATTACAACAAGCGCTCGACCATCACTTCCCGGGAGATCCAGACGGCCGTGCGCCTCTTGCTGCCCGGCGAGCTGGCCAAGCACGCCGTGTCCGAGGGAACCAAGGCGGTCACCAAGTACACCAGCTCGAAGTAATAGTGTTCAGGCAACGTAACTCCACAACTGCTTTACCCCAAAGGCTCTTTTCAGAGCCACTTCACTTATTGGAGAAGTGGCTGTAAACACTTGTGATATTTGGTAAGCTTTTAGTTAATAAGTAGTAGGGACTCGTGGTAGGGATATTTTGGCATGGGACGGGGTTGGGATCGTGATAAAAGATTACTCTGGTCGGTAAAACGGCAGCCTTAGGTAGCTGAGCGGCGTCATCTAGGGGCACGAGTTTTCGTGGCATTAAGTGATATATATCCCAATAGTCCCTGCTTACTGGTTTCTGACTGGAAGCTTAAAGGCACAGAACTCGAAGTATAGGATTGGGCATTGTTTCATAAGACTCTTGAATGGTGCGGGTGGTGCTGTATTCCCCTTGTTCTTAGATGGGTTTAAGTAGGCGTCCTGGAGCTTTTTCTCTGGCGTGACGAGTGGAGACTTCCCATGAACACTCCTAGTAGTCTTACAGCAGTCAGTGCAGACCTAACCATCTTACCCTATCTTTCCTGCTCGATAGCTATCAGACATTTTGTCCCCCACTCCATGGGCCATTTGGAAATAGAATCACTCGTGCTTGTCGTCATTAGGGGCAAGAAGTGCTAACTACTTAGACCTAATAGGGAGACGCCAGGACTGTTGCTACACATTCTGTAATTACTAGGATGGCCGAAAAACAGTCTGGTCCGTAATATCGCCCCTTCTGTGTAGTGCGAGAGACCCAGAAACGAAAGTCCTTTCAGAATTTACTTAATCCTCATTTTGGTCAAATCTTTCAGTCCTACGCAGCCAGTGTTTCTCTTAGTGAAAGCTAAGCAGTACTCAGACATCTCCACAGGAAAAGAACAATTGTGGAGCTTCCAAAGCATTTCCAGGTGCTTCTCCTGAAGTTTCCTGATGAGATGGAGATGAGAAGTGGTTTTTACTGTTCCCAGGTGTGTGTGTCAGTAGGTTTTAGGGAGCATGAAGTACAAAACATCACAGTTAACAAACACACGGGGCGAACTTTTAAGGACCTCTCTGTTCAAAACTTGCATAACTCAAGACTAATGCTGATTAAGGTGTGTGGCTGTTTTACCAAATAAAAATCTACCCTCGAGACAAAGGAAAATCTTAGTTTCCAATTCACTTGATAGGCCTTGAAGTTAAACCATTCTTGACATTTGTGGAAATATACATGACAACCTTGCACTTCAAATGAAATTTATCAAATTACAGTTTAGGAGTTCATATTTACATCCAGTTAAAAATTGTTTAAATTGGGCTGTAATACGATTTCTTTTTTCACTGGTAAATTAGGGTTCTCAGTGACTCATCTTATGGTAGGAAGATTTACTCAGTGAGAAGGCCAAGGTGTTCTGTCTTCCGTCTACCTAGTCAAGCTGTAAGAGTGTGTCTGGTCTCCTCATCTAGGATCCTGAAGTCTGGGGGCTCTCTTTTCCTTAAGGACTAGGAACAATATTTCTCAGTCTTTTGAAGGGTTAGAACATTGTCAATTTGCTCACTTAATCAGAAGTTATCATTAATTATCCGTTAAGATTAAACCCCAGTTCCTATCTTGACACTAAAGGCCTTCTACCAACTGGAATTACTCATTTCCACCAGTCCTCCAGTTTATACATCTTAAAACATCTCCCCTTTAGTGTTTCTATCATATCATTTTTCTGTTACATACTTTTAAGTTGTTCTCTAGACTGTTCAAACCCTGTCAACCTGCTAGTTCTTTAAATTCTTGCTCAAATCTCACTCCGTAAAGCCTTCCCATCCCATTCTAGTTCACAGGAAAGTTTTTTTTTCCTTAAGAGATTTTTGTTCCTTGCACAATGAATTCAAAACTGTGTAGCCTTGTTTCTTATCTTCTTTTTCATTTTTTTTTCTTGTATTTATCTTGAGTGCCTGGCATCTTCCACAAAGTCTATCTCACTGCCTGTTATAAAACAGCTTCTCAAAGTTTGATGACTGAGTGCCCAGACCAAAGACCATAGAACCCAAACTGAGCTGAGGATGGTAGGTTCAAGTATGCTAATAAATTTTCTATACTGTTCTTTAATTTTTTCTTGCTCCTTTTACCTGGAATGCTCTTCTAAGTGCCTTTAATAACTGACCCAGTTAAAACTTGTGTTAGAGGTTTAAAAATCCTGAGAGGTGCAGATAAAGTACAGCATTTTCCAGCTTCCCTTCAGCCAATGCATCTTTGTGGCCAAAACAGATTAAGGTGGAGCTTTTTCAGCCTGGTGTGAGGTGCTGCTTTTTCAGTGTTGTAAACTAGGATGAGGAGCGAGGTGCACTTCACCATACAGAAAAGAGGGATGGAATGAAGATAAGGAGCTTTAAATAACAGATCCAGAAAGTAAACATTACAAATGTAGAAATTGTTTTGGCTGATCAGGTCAAAGGTCATCCAGATCAGTAAAGTCATTTTTTCAAGGATTGGTGAATGGATTATTGTATGTACAGAAATCTATAAAAGTTTAACCTGTGATAACTTTTAGACAACTATTTCAGTTTTAAACTGGGTGCATTTCTTAAAAGTGATCCAAATGTCCAGGCTCTTAAGACAGATCATCTGGTTAGTAGTCTAGCCCTTCTCTTTATCAGTGTGACTAAGGCAAGTTTTTGAACCTTCTTCATTTGTGTCCTCATCTTTAAATTGGGGATAATAGTAATGCTTACTTCATAATGCTTTTATGAAAGGTAAATGAGTAAATTACATATCAAAATGCTTAGAGTTGACACTTTATAAACATTTCAAATGTTGTTGTTGATAGTAGGGAAGTCCTGTTGAGTGTTAGGCCAGTTTTTGCATCTCTAATGTACCAGTGAAAGTATCTACTAATTCAAGACTGTACTGAACACATGTTGCATTTTCCCCATCTTCCACATCTAATTTATAAAAATGATAGAAAATTTACCAAAAAAAAAGGCAGATGGGAGAAAAGTTCAAGAACAATTAATTAAAGATTTTAGAAATTTAAAATGTGGTATTGACACAAAAATTCAACAGAACTGAATTCAAAATAGAGTAGGAATGGCTAAAAGAAAATACAGGAGCTGAAAGATGAAGCCTAGAAATCTTCCCCCAATGCCATATAAAAAGATATCAAGATAGAAAATAAGAAAAAAAGTTAAATGTATAGATTTCAGATGTTACAAAATTTAATAAGAGTGTGAGAAGGAAAGACTAGAAATAATGTAAGAAATATAAAATACAGGTCTACCAAATAAAGTTTAAATTGGAGCTATTTAAATTATAATCTTTGTGGTTGGTGTCCCGTTGTGCAGTGAACAACTTAAGTGGCCATACAGAAAATTTCTTGCAGAAATGTTTTTTAAAAGGAGACTTTCAGGAAATCTATATACATACATATCTACATACATCCTCCGATTGCAAGGTTCCATTAAATGCTGAGCATATAAGGGTGAATTAAGAGGACCTTCTCCTAGAGACCTAATGATAAATTTCATAACACAAGAGTTAAGGAGAAAACACCCAGAGGAAATTATTACAAAGACATAGGAATCAAGTTTATATCAGACTTCTCATTTGGGCAATGCTATATGTAAGAAGATAATGAAACAATATTTTTTTAAATCTCGGGAAAATAATTTTGAAACTGAATTTCCATATCCAATCAAACTGTCATCTAAGTGTGGGTAAGTTTTAAGACCCTTCTGAAAGAATTTCTGGAGTTGTATTTCAGGAAGAATAAGAGATTCCAAGTGGAAGATACAGGACACCAGAAACAAGGGCAGCCATGTACCAGTAAAATACTTCCTAAATATAAGTTTAGAGTCTAAAAAAAATTAGGTCTTAGAGCATTGGTCTTTATTCATATAGCTGATTTTATAATGGAGTAACTTTATTGAGAAATTAGAAATCAGGTGGTAGGAGAAAGATGAAATAAATGAATCAGGAAAGGTTCAAATTACTTGTAACACAAATTTAAAAAGAAATGTGCTATAAATGATAGATGGAAAGTGTCATGAGGTTAGATACAGGTAACATTGTGATAATTGGAGCCATACAGGAAGCATTGATTTATTGAATCCATCATGTTTGTATTGAAATTTCCCCGTTTTGATTAGTAATTCAAGTTTGGATTTTAAGATTTTTGTTTACATAACCCAGTGATTACAAAATATTTTACATTTATAGTCTCTTCTCCACATTTACTGTTTTGAAGAGACAAGAGCTCAAAACTATTAGTGACTTCAAATGCAGACATCTGTTGGTGTAGATACCCCCTCCCCATAATTTATTTTTTTAGATCTGGAATTTAAATGTCAGGTGATAATTTTGGACAAGAGTGAAAAGAAATGAAACAAGCTAAGTAAGAATTACATTACATTCCAGAAGGATATAGATATTACTACTCTAGAAAGTGTTAGGAAAGCATAGGTTTAAATATATAAACAACATACAAGGTCTGCCCAGAAAGTACCCAGCCATGTGCTATAAAAAAAGAGAAACATGTATTGAAGAAGATAAACATTGTACACAGGACAATGACACCTCAGTCCCTTTCAAAGTAGGCACCTTGGGACCTTACATAGTTCTCCCAGTCACCATCAGCTGTCCTGTCAATATTTTCCTAAATTTCATCAGTCTGAAATCTCTTCCCTTTCAAAGGTGATTTTAGTTTTGGGAAAATCCAGGAGTCATAGGGTGCCAAATCGGGGTGTAGGGGGGCTGAGTCACCTGGATGATCTGATATTTCAGATCTGTGATGCACAGATGTGATGCACAAGCGGGTATGTTGTCGTGATGGAGCTGCCAATCACCAGTTGCCATAGCTGCGGCCTTCTGAATCATCTGAATAGTTCCCATGGAGGAATGTTCAACCTTAACGCAAAATTTGATGCAGGTTCATTGCGATGTCCACATAGTACACATGCTCACTTAACAGCACCTACTTCCGCCGCTGACTAGTAGAGTGAAGTTCTCACTGTTCACGCATGCACATTTCAGCCCTTTCTCCTTGACAGCCAGGTCACATCAATGTCCTGAAAACCATCCTCATTATATTAACAATGGCTGGACTCTTTCTGGACAGACCTCATATATGTGTATGTATAAAAAGCACGAGGATATTTCAATTCCAAAAACAGCAATCCAGTAAGAAGTTATAAATTGTTTGTTCTTAACTTAGACACAACACGTGCATATACTGAGATGAATATGCATACAAAGATTTTCAATAAAGCAACAATCAGTGGTTATATGTTAACATAGATACACCTTTCTCAGCAATTGACAGATCGAGTCAACTAAAACTTGTTGATATAGAGGATTTGAGGAACAAGGTTAACAAGATTAATCATAACTATATTTAAAATAGAAAAAAGTACGTAATTTCTTTTATTGTTGTTCAAGTATAGTTGTTTCCACTTTCCTGCCACTACTTTCCCCTTCACCACCCACCCCCAACCTCCCACCCTCAATCCTTCCCTTTGGCTTTGTCCATGGGTCCTTTCTTTATACATGTTCCTTTACAACCCTTCCCCTTTTCTCTACTATCCCCCTCTCCCCTCCCCTCTGGTTACTGTCAGTTTGTTCTTTATTTCAATGTTGCTGCTTACATTTTGCTTGCTTGCTTGTTTGTAGATCAGGTTCCACTTATAGGTGAGATCATATGGTACTTGTCTTTCACTGCCTAGCTTATTTCACTTAGCATCATACTCTCCAGTTCTATCCATGCTGTTGTGAAGGGTTATAGCTCTTTTCTTCCTCCCTCCCTCCCTCCCTCCTGCATAGTATTCCATTGTGTAAAATGTACCATAGTTTTTTTCATTCACTCATTTACTGTTGGGCACTTAAGTTGCTTCCAACACTTGGCTAAAAAGTACATAATTTTGAAATTCACATGGATACTGATAGAAACTAACCATGTGTGAAATGGCAAATGAAAATTCAACAAGTGTTGAAAAAGCTGAAACCGTGTAAAACATATTTACTAATCATGATACACTGAAAATGTTCTCCTTGATCTATACTATTAGGGAAAAGCACATGGGTTAAAGAGGGATATCAAAATAAATACTTTTTAGAAATAGAATGCCATATATTAAAACCTATACTAAGAGATAAGAAGAAAATCATAGCTTTAAATGTTACTTATGAGGAAATAGAACTATTGAAAATAATGAATTAAGCTTTTAACTTAAAAGCTAATAAAGGAGGAAAGAAGCAGAAATCAATGGAATAGATTATACTTTCTCATTCCTCTAAAATATAATTAAGAAATAAAACCAAAATCTGGCTCTCTGAATGAAAATTACAGGGTTAATCCTTCAGTAAATTTAGTACTGAAACAGTATGCAAATATCAGCAACTTTAGATAGAGAAGACATTGAAATTGGTAGGTATATTTTGATAGATATATTTGCAAATATAGACAGATATTTAAAATACAATTGATCAAATTTGCCCTAAGAAAAGTAGAGTAGCTGAATAAAATAACTACATTTTATTCATACTGAAAAACTGAAAAGATACACAAATAGCTACCCTTTAAAAAAGCACCAGGCCCATGCAATTTTACAAGACTTTGAGGGGAGAAACAATATATTATGTAAATTGATCAAGATAATGATAAAAGATTAAAAGCCACCTACTTCTATTATGAGGCAATGACACCAAGAAATATTAAGTTGTTAACCTCTGCAAGGCAAAATAAGTGTTTGATACAAAAAAAACCCTGTAAAAATTAGATATTATGGGGTCACAATATAGATTTCAAAGTGGAATGAGAGATAATTGAGGTAAGAGACTGCAATTCAAGGAGCTATTAAGTATAGGGTAAAGATTTCAATTCTAGTTTATTGTGCCCAATGCCTATGAAATTATAAGATATGATTGAATCAAAGTTGGAAAATGATTATTTTTCTAACGTAAATATGGTACTTAGAAACCTGTTGTAAATGCCTATTTCTTCTCTTCAAGGCTTTATTCTGCCCTTCAGAAGAAGTGGGCCTCCAAGTCACAGCTGGACTCTGCCTGACTGCCGCTCCACGGGGGATCACGTCAGTGCGTCCTCCAATTAAATTATCCTCTCAGAGAGCACGACCTGTGGGAACTTTATTTCTCCAGAATGCGTAAACCAATTATTTCTAGTGTCTCTTAGAGATATTTTACCTCCATTAACTCATATAACACGTTTGGAAATCTCTCCCGTTAACGCATGCTCCCTCTCTACAATTTGTTTTCTGTCCTTTCTAAGGGTTAAGGAGTCCTGTGTACTTCATGTGATATGGAGATGAAAGGGGAAGGCAGGCCGACAAGCTACTTACCCACAGGGGATTTTGACCCTCGTGGGGGATATTTAGAAAGAAAGCAAGAAATGAGGAGTAAAGGAAGGAGAGCAAAAAATTCTTTCAGCTCCCATTTTACTGCTAGTGTGCATTAACAAAGAAGTCTGAACCTAAAGCACAACCTTACTATGGAGGCGCAGATTTTCAACTTCCAGCATTTTTTCTTTTTTTGGACATCCTGCCAAGCTTAATATGTAGTTCTCCTAGGGTCTTTCAGTTTTTACACTATTGTAACAATGAGGCTGATAATTTCTTCTTACGCTTCTTACAATACCATTTATAATAACTCACAGAAATGAAGGGTCTAGACAAAAATGTGAACAAAATTTCTAGAAAGAAAATCATAACACTTTTGTGAGATATTAACAATGATATAAACAATGGAGCTATGTCATGTTCATGAATTAGAAAAGTCAGTATTATAATGATGCTCCCTCTCTCCAAAGAGCTACAGACTGAGTGCAGTCCCACTCCAAATAGTCTCAGGAGAGTTTGATGTAGTTGATCATTCTTTCTTCAGACACTTCCATTTCTCGTTTCTCATACCTTATCAGCAATTCCTTGTCAACACTTTTGCTACTAACTTACACAACCTTTAAGATTTGGCATGTTCCAGGGTTCAGCCTTAGGCCATTATTCTGTTTTCTGTTTATGTTGTCTCTTCTATTTGTCTATGACTCTGAATAACACATACAGTATATGATGATTCTCAAATTTTTATCTCTAGTCCAGGATTCTTCCCTGAGTTCCACTCATACATCCATTGCTTTTTCACCAGTTAAACTTAAATGTTAACTAGGAATCTTACATGACCAGTACAAAACTTCTTGCTACTCCTCTCTAAGAGTTGATTCCTCTCTTTCCCACATTCCCTACAGCTAATCAATCAGCAAGCTTTTGGGGCACTTCCTACAAAATACATTCCAAATGTGACCACTTCTCAACACCTCCACTACCACCATACTAGTCTAAGCTACCATTACCTCTCACCTGGATTCCTGTTTCCCTTGCTTCTCAACTGTTGTCCCCTTACTGCCCCTGGGGTCTGTCTACAACAAGCCTGGTGGCAGTTTGGACTGTCAGTCCCCCTTCCAGCAGTTGCTTGGAATCCCAAGGCAGGTCTGGCCATCTTTGGCTCCTGGGCAGGGAAATTCCTAAACCCAGAAGGTCTGAGGTTTCTCTCAACTGAATGTGGGAACCAGGAAAAGACCCTGACTGGATGCAACCATTTTACCCCAAACCAGGCAATCCGCTTCAGGGATTCTCGGGCTCGGAATCATGAGTGTTGGGAATGGGCCTGGACTCTCATAGGAACTCCTGTGGTCTCGCAGTGATTTTAGGGCTCTCCCTAGGGGAGCTGGAACATGTTAAAAATATCCTTCCATTGACCCACCCTCCTCACAACCAGTTGCCTGTTTTCCAAAACTGTCTACTCTGGGGTGTGGTACTTAGGTCTGGAAGCCATGGGGTTTACAGGGTGACCCAGAAACCTCTCAAATGAAGCCTGGGTAGGTCCAACAGGCCCTGGATACTGTTCCTGCTAAATCTCAGGGCAAAGACAGAAAGAACCCACCTTCCTCCTACTGGCTCCATCAGTCCTCCCCAGGCCTTGGTTCTCAGTCCTGGAAACTGGGTTCTCAGTCCTGTCATCTGGGATAAAGCAGGCCCTGGACCCCTGAGAGCGAAGCCCTGTGGTTCTCCAGTGCATTTCCGAGCAGCCCTTGAAGAGCCTGCAGGCTCCCTGCACACTGGCCTGCTGCTTCTGCCAGCCCGGGGCCCCTTCCTGGCTCTGATGGTGGAAGAACCAGCAGGAACTTGGCATGTACTTGACTGGGTTGCCTTCTTGCACTCTTCACCGGCTTCCTCCCTGCTGCCGCTGCCTCAGGCCACCTCTTTCTATAGTCCCTCCTGGAGGGCCCGGGTCCTGGGCCCCGAGCTCCACCCATTTCTCTCAATGCCCAGGCCGGCCCGGCCGAGCGTTCCTCCAGCCCGCCCCGCGCCTCCTAGCAGCCCCTGCGCGAGATGGCGGGTCCGACCCCTGCCGGCACCCCGAGCCGGGGTTCTGGCCTAGGTAGGGGTTTTCAGCTGCGTGGTTCCGGGAGACCGACACCATTGCTTTGGCTTCCCGCACTGTTTCTTTTCCTGCCGCTGCCGATCCAGCCTACTCGGGAGCCGGCTTCTCACACCTGCCAGCCCCGAGTAGAAAATTAAGGCGAGACTGGGGGAGCCGTTCAAGCTGGGTGCCCTTTCCCTACCGGAAGGAATTGGATACACATGACCTCTTGCTTTCCTCTGCCTGCACAGCTGATGCTGCCAACGCACTCTAGCACCATTTCTTGCCCCTACCCGCTCTGAGAAAGCAAGAATTTTCTCACGGGGTTTCGGGGAAGGTTGCAGAAAGGGTGCACCTGTCATCTTCGCGCAGCTGAGTCCCCGCGCACGCCGCCGCGGCCTCCTTGGCAAACTCATGTCTCAATGTGCAGGCCACAGGGTGGCGCCAGCGACACAGCGGAACACTGTGGTCAAAGAGTGACCACAGTGGCCTATCCATCTCGGAGCCAGGTTCTAGCCACTAGTTAAGTGTGAAGCTAAGAAAAAAAAAAAAAAGTATTAATGACTTTCTTAAATATCTGATTTACAATAGAATCTATTAAAACTTCCCTGTTAAAAATAGAGAAATGATCGATGAGTGCTGGCAAGCAAATTTGCAAACTAAGTAAAACTATGAATATTCTATGGATTTACAATATCCAGTACTTTAGGGGGCATGGAGGGCAGAGGAGGGTAAATGAATGAAACAATTTCTTCTGAATTATTCGAGGAAATACAAAACAACTTATCTTCAATGTATTCCTTTTACTCGAAGATGTACCCTAGCCTATTCTGATACGGCCAAATTCACAGATGAATAGATGAGGTATAAATAAACTGTGCATAAGTTTGTTGCCTGGATAAGATACAGTGTGGTTATCGATATTTCTTACACTCTCTTTGCCTTCTCTCACAGAGCGCTCCCTTGGCAACCTAGCACCACTTGTTGATGATAGTCATAAAGAAGAGGCAAGGTCTTTAATGAAAGTTGTCATAAATCCTGCCCTACTTCTACAATATACCAGGATTCAGAACATCTCAACATGGGCCAATGTATCCATTTATAACACATAGCTTTGCCCCTAACACCCATGAGTATAAGATAAAGACATAAAAATTTACCTATGGTTTATTTGTGCTTTTGTGTCTTTGGTACACTCAGATTTTTTTTTTTTTTTTAAATCCCCAGGGCAGTGTATCATGATTTGGGATGGGTGAGAGAGATGGCTTTCTTTTGTAAACTGGGAGAAGGGTGTGTGGGAAACAGTAGGTAGAAAAGGAGAACCAGTTTCGAACATTCACAGCAGGCGTGTTCTTAGGCAGTGCAATACGATGAAAGAGTGCATAGGGAAATTGATGATCTGGAGCTGGATTTCCTCAAGCAATTTACTTCTCTCACTAACTAGTGAAATTCTAAACCCTGACTTTAAATTTCAAGTCGTCACCTTTCATAAATGTACCACCAGAATATGTGATGTTCCCTCTCCCTCATAGCTAGAGAGAACAATTTACATCACAAAGCAGCATAAAAAATCTTACTTGATAAGCTGTTAAAGAACATTCACAGCAATATCAAGCTTATTGTCCTGTCTGAAATGGACCTCTGTGTGTGTGTTTTTTGTTACCAACTTGTTTTGTTCTCTGTTAAATATGTCCCTAGAAGTGTTATTGACTCCCAAGGCTTTAAAAATTGTTTCAGTGACTTACAAAACACTCAGATTGGACTCTCTGGAAGCAGAAGCCAGGAAAGAGTACGGGTTGCAAGATGCTTTTTAGGGATGAACCCTGTGAATCAAAGAGTGAGGAAGCAGGATTGAACAGAAGGAAAAAGACTACACTGAAAGCCTGATAAAGCTTTGACCAACACCGGAGGAGCCCTGGAGCAAATACTGCTCACGAAAGTCCTATTTTGAGCTGTAGTGGCCTATTTCGTTCAGGCAGGAGATGCAGGGGGGTTCTGGGTAGGGCATGACTTTAGGGGAGGCAGCTGAGGCAGACCCCGAGGAGTTAACTGCCACAACAGCTGGACAGCGTCTGCTGAATGCATTCCTTGCAGCTGGTCATCAAGTCCTTTTTTGAAGAAGGATCTGTGTGGCACATCTCCATGTTCACCATCATCCACCACTGCACCATCTGAGTCCACTGTACCATATGAGTTTGGGGAGCACCTCTTCCAGAATTTTAGTGGGCTTTTCTTTCTGAGGGACAATATAGAAGAGTGGAGACAGTGGAACAAACCAGCTCCTATTGCTGCATTTAGACTCGGGGTCACCATCGCTGTGATTGTATTGCCTCAGAGTCTAACCTGGTGGCGTGACCTCAATTCACATTCCTGAGGGTCCTGAGTACCTGCTCGCTAAGCCCTTCCAAGCCTGCAGTTGCTCTCCCTATCTAATCAGAGTGACAATTGGGCATCCCAATGTATTACCTGAGTTCCATACCTACTCCTCCCTAAATCCCATTGTGTAATAGAAGCTTTATGTCTTCTTGCTGATTAGTATCAATCATACTTGTCAAGACAATGACCCCTCTCTTGCCTACTGCTCCTAGACACAAGGAGCCTGAAGTGCCCAGGCATCACGATGTGTCCTGGGTGAAAATGTGCCCTGCAGAACCCAGAGTCGTAGGGGCGAGAAACACAAAATCCCACCGTTGATCATTACGAGCAACAAGTGTGTGATTGCCCTTCCACTCCATGAATCCTGGACCCATATGTTCTCTCTACTGGGGTCACAGTGAATATACAGCATCCTGGAGAATGGCACCTCTACTGTATCTCCCGGTTGTTCCTTCAGCAGGCTGTCCAACTCCTCTAGGCCAGCCAGTCAGCAGTTTCTGGGTGGAGTGGTATGTGATCTGACCACGTCCTGTGGTCATGGCCCCCTCCTGCATTTTCTTCGATGTGAAGTTGCTGGCCTGGTTAGGTACTGTGTGGTTCAGGGGTCCAGGCCTGAGCATCAGGCACTCCACAAGCCCCTGGAGAGGGTGCTGTGTGAGCCCCTGTAGGCAGGAAAGGCAAACCCACACCTGGAATACATGATGATTCCTGCAAGGAAAAAACTGATGGCCCTTCCAGGATGGAAGGGGTCCAGTGTAGTCAATGGGATACCAAGCAGCTGGTGGTATCCTCAAGGTATAGCATCCCAGCAGAGGCTCAGCCTTGGTCTCTTTTGCTGGCAGGCTGAACATTCAGCAGCATCAGTAGCTACAGGAGCCTTGGTGAGAGTCCATGATATTGGGCCCATGTGTAGTCCCTATCTCAGCCACTGTAGCTGGTCTACTTATGTTTCCATTAGGCTTACTCTCTTAACTTGGGGGATGTTCTCTGCTTAATGGGTGATACAAAGATCTTCACACCTCATGACCACTGCCCCATGTCCACCCATATCCTTCTACCACACACGTCCTTGTCCTTACCCTTCCAATCTTTCCTCCTCTTACATTCCTAGATCAGCCAATCAGGGTGTTTGCCGCTGCCTGGAGTCTGGATATATTCTAACCTTGGGTCATTTCTCTGTATGCACAAAGTGGGTGACTAAGTTTGCCACTTGAAACCCTACCAGTTGGGATCACTCTACTCACCACTATCTTCAAAGGCCTCCCTTGAGTTGCTGTAAATTTTGAATTTGCAGACACATATTGAATGGGTCCATTTCAAACTTTTTTTCCTCCCTTTTCAGCTGGTCATAAGGGTTTCCCATGTAGTCACGGGTGCTGGTTGGTGCCATGGGCATCTGAGCTACCTACCTGCTCATACAGATTGTTTGTGCTCTCTTGTCCTGCTTCATCTCAAAAGTACTATTTTTGTTAAATTGTCCCTGAGCCACACTGACCTTATGACTTGGTAGATCTAACTATACCTAGCTCACACTGGGCAGTTCTGTCCTCATTGTCACCTAGTGATTGAAAACAAAACAAAATGAAATGAAACAAAATTCTCTCTCTACCTGGGGCCACGAAGTACACTAAAAGTTGTTTTTTAAAAGGCAGATAAGTCTCTGTTGCAGATCGCATAGCCTTGCTCCAGAATCACAGGGGGCTTGCACTGTGATTCTCTAGCTGGGTCTTGCCACAGAGTCTGCCGCAGCACCTCTTCTCTCCACTGATACTCCCAGTGCCACAAGGTTTGCTGCATTACGGCCCAAGTGATAGGGGCTTCTTGAGTTCCAGCTTTGACCTACTGAAAGCCCTTCTGTCTAATGGTTAAGGCAAAGGTGTAATGGCCACTGTAAGGAGAAGATATGTTGACTGACCAACGAAGCAGGCAACTCCATAGACTATAACAGAATTCATCATAGGGTGATTTACATATAGGAATATTGGGTTGGAGCAGAACAGATGACCCAGCAGTCTGCACAGATTCTTCTCTGCTACAGACGCTTGTTTCTGTACTTTTTTAAAGGTATAACTCAGGTACTAATGATTGACAAGACAAAGGAACAAAGAGTGCAGTCCATGCCGTACTTCCTGGTGGTCTTGTGATAGGTGATTGCTTATAATCAATACTATCACCAATTTGGTTATAGTCACTAGCTACATGTGGCTATTTAAATTCAAATTAATTAAACAAAATTAAAAATTTAGTTTCTCAGTCACACTAGTTATGTTTCAAGTGCTCAGTAACCACATGTGGTTTATGTTTCCAGTACCAGATGGAATAAAAATAAAGAGGAGTGAACCCTTAAATGTATAGGGACAAGTGCCAGGGAGAGGGCACCTGGCCTCTGGAGGGAAATTTGAGGCCTGGGCACCCACCTGGAGGAAGTATGAGGTGGTGCCAGGCCTGACCAGACCCAGCCCTAAGTCTCGGGGAACAGGCAGGCAGGCCTCAGCTGGGGGGACTCCCAAGAACATATTCCTGGCACAGCTATAAGCCGGAGATAAGGGTAGACTGAAGTGCATATTATATTGTTCAATTAAAAAATTGATTTAATTAAATCAATTATTTAAGCATTAAACTACGTATTAGGAAAAAAGTGTGACAACGATCACAAGCATGGGGTGGGGAAAATCTGGAGAGGAAGTGCAGAAGAGGAGAGTGGGGAAGGAGGAAGCACTTCATGGTGCTTTAGCTTCACTCCAGGTCATTGGAGATCTGTCCCTGTCCCTTCTCCCCCGACCTTCTGCCCTAGGGAGCACTGTCCCTGAAATTCTCCACCCTGTGGGTGCGGAGGAGCTCTCTTCTCTGGGTGTGAATGTCACTTCCGCTTTAATTTCCAATCCCTCAGGGTGCAGTCTTCTACCCACAGTCCCTTTCCAGAGTCTTTGGGCCTCTTTTCCTATGGGACTTCCTCCCTGCACTTCCCCTGATTTCTCTGTTTCCCCAGCCCACAAGACAGCATTCTCTGCGATCAATGAAACTTCTGCCACTGCCTATGATCATATCCTTTCATTAAAACGTTGGAGTTGTTAGACTTCTATCAAGATGATAATTACTGTACTTTTTTCTGAAGGTGAGGGCGAGAGGACATTCTCATTGTCCACAGTCTAGGGAAGCAGCAGGCTAAGGTGCTCTCCCATCTCCTTCAAGTCCCAAGTTGCTTGAAGGTGCTCTCAGGTGGTGTGGGTGTTAAAGGTGAGCCCTGTCACATGGAGCCAGAACAGAGGCTAGGCTGAGATGTGTCTTTGTTTGGCAGTAGGTGGCATTTTTTTATAAACCAAATAATCTGGAATTAGGTTCTAGGTTTGTTAGTACCCTTTTGGAGTGGCCTTTCCTGCAGCTCTTCTTGTTCCTGACATTTTAGCTCTTCTTCTGAATATCTGTCTTCTTGAAGGAAGGAATTTACCTTCTTTCCATGATCAGACTCCAAAGGAACTTCTAAAATCCACTTTTTCTTCCTTTGCAGTTTTTTATGTATTACCACATAGAAAACAGTGTTCACCAAAAATATTATTCCCACTGCCAGACTGAGCAGGACATGAAACCAGTCAGGAGCTGGTGATTGGAACCCTGTAAAAGAGAATGACAAAGAGAAGAAGTGCTATTCAGAAACCAGGGGGATCTGACTAAGTTACGTTTGAAGAGAAGGCTGCCCGAGATCTGCCACGCCTGTCCCCTTCGGAGACGCCAGTAATTCAGGGGGCAGGCAGGGGCTGGAGGCGGCTCCAGCTGGGCCATTGGGTGTACAGACAAGGGGCGGGCTCCTCCCAAGGCCTAACTGCCAGGGCCCTGTCAGTGGGCTTTCTCTCTAGTTTCAGAGACAATTGCTCTTTCTACTTAATGCTTGAAATGGCTTTGAATTGAAGATAAACTTTTTTTCCCCAAGGAGTTTTTGTTCTCGAACTCACAATCCCTTGACCTCAGCCAGATGTAGGTATCTGGGCAGGTGTCAATGTGCAACCCACAAAATCCCCATGTCACCAACCTACTGCACAAGGTCCTTGGTTCTCAAGACCTATGACAATAGATAAGAACTCAATATATCATTGATTAGATTGTTGGTGAGAGAGAAGGGGGAGAGGGATGGGGTCAAAAGAAGAGACAAAGAGAAAGAGAGAAAGAACAGAAAATATAGGAGAAAAAAAGGACAAAAAAAAAAGGAAATAAATAGAGAAAGAAAAGGAAAAAAATAAAAGGAAAAGAAAGAAAATGTAATGGTGTTTACAAGGAGATTAGTGAAGTTCTGAATCAAGAGTGGAAAGGCCTATTCATAGGACTTTCTTTTCCGGGCCATGAACAGACCACAGTCCCATAGGAGCAGAGGGAGCATCTTCCCTTGAGCCGGTCAGTTCCCATCATTCTCACTCACCAAGCACTCGAAGCTCCAACATGGGGCTGCGCTTGATGACATCTCCATCTTCCGTGGTGGCCTCACACCAGTAGAACCCAGAATCTTCTCTTTCAGCAGTTCGTATCTGGTAGTCAGAGGATGGGGTCCTGTTCACCAGCATCTGACTTGCCATGTAGAAGGAGAAGTAGAGCTGCACAGGAGGGCTGTGGAGGAGCAACCTTGTTTCACAGCTCAGGTTGATGGGATTCCCCTCTAGGAGGGGGTGTGGAGAGGATGCTCTCAGCACCGGGGCTGGAAATAGCTCTAAAGACAAAGTTGACAGTTGCCTGCTTCAGAGTCATGGTCTTTTTCGCAGGAGACACACTCCCCCTACCCCTTTGGGAATCTGTCTCTAGACAGTGCATCCATAAAACACAATTTTTTCTACTTACAGCAGAGAGACATTCTTAGAGTTTCCTCATAGACATACTTACCAGCTTGCTCATATCTTACTGGTGAGAATCCTCTACACAGTTGTTCATGCTTCCCTGAATAGCCATGTTATTTATTATATGACTATGTCTTTGGGTGATGGTTGACCAGGAGTGGATACACCCATACCCTGGCCAGTTCAGTGTTTCATCACTTGTGTTCCTGCCTCAAAAGATAATCTGCAACAGTAATTTCTTTCCCATAGGAGTTAACTATTTTTCAGACAGAAAAAAGCTGCTAGTGGTTATGAGTACAGAGGTGAAGTCCATGAAAGAGTCACAACAGAAGCCACATGCAACTGGAACAGAGGAAACTGCTTAGACAGCAGATGTTAAGAAAGAAGTGGAACCAGAGAGGCCACGTCTCCCCTGAGATATAGACAGAAAGAATAACCAAGTCCTAATGTCTTCCTGGCCTCTCTTTCTAGCAGGGGTGCCCAACCTTTTGGCATCTCTGGACCACACTGGAAGAAAAAGAGTTGTCTTGGGCCACACACTAAATACACAAACACTGATAAAAACTGATGAGCAAAAAAAGGCCCGTGCATAATTTTCGTGATATCCACCACCACAGATAAGAAAAAAAAGTCCTTACATGTGGCCCACAGGCCACAGGCTGGACACCCTTGCATAGAGCTTTTATGAGATTCCATGGGTTATTTTCTAATAAATCCCTACCTACCTTGAGTGGGTCTCTATCCCATACAACTAAAATAAAATTGATGAAATGTATCCTCACTATGCACTGGCCTTGAAACTAGCCTCTGAGTTTATTTACAGCGCACCATGGTATTCTAGAAAGAGCAACAGACTGGACTGAGAAGACCTCCATTCTTGTCTCCACCCCCCACCCCTCTCCACCCTGCCAGCCACTGGTCATCTTATGACCTTCGGGAAGACAGGTTCCCTCCCTGGAACTCAGCTTCTTCACTTGGAAAGTGAAGCAAGCATTTGTGATGCTTTTACTGGTTCTTAAAACTATAGCTCCATGACTATTCAGATACAATACCTTTAACAGTGATATTTACTCCTGCTGATGTGAAGCGGGGCCTTCCGTACAAGCCTGAGCAGTGATAGATGCCACTGTGACTCACGTTGGTTTTCAGAATGGTGTATTCGGGATTCCCAGGAGAAAAGGTAAAGGTCTTGCCATTGTGGTAGAAAAGCATCTTGTATACCAGCTTGTTCTTCCATCCATGACACCTCAAGGCCAGAGGCTTCCCTTCAGTGATGACTCTGCTAGAGACCTGCAGGAGTAGCCAATCTGGAAAATGGGGACCCAAAATGCATGTGTACAGTGGCAGAGGTACCCTTAAGGAAGCCAAAGCTGAACATGGGGTTGCGGGGGGGCTTTCTCTTCCTCCTTGAACATCCCACCCTGGAGCTCTGCTGAATCTGAGGCCTCTCTTCCACTCCTCAAATATCCTTAGCTCTGCCAGAAGAAAAGTAGTCTTTACCAGCAGCCACAAACAGAGCTCCTTCTTGTCTTCTCTTACTAGATCTTAGAGGTTGGTTGGGACAACAGTTTTATCATAGGTGGTAGGTGGTATGCTAAGATGACCCCAGTAAAGCACACCTTTGTCCAATCCCCTTCTGGCCACCAGAATATGACAAAGGTTATGGGATGTGCTCCCATGATATTGTTAACATTGTACAAGACTCTGTCTTAGCTGTCTGGACTGAGAGTCTCCTGCTGGCCTTGAAGAAGTGAGCTGACTTGTTGTGAGAGGGCCTGTGAGAGGCATATGGTGGGGGTCCCCAGCTGACTGCCAACAAACAGGCAGAGACTTCAGTCTCACAGCCACAAGGGACTGAATTCTGCCCAGGACCACGTGAGCCTGGAAGACCCCCAGGAAGGACCACAGTCCAGTAAACACCCCAATGGCAACCTCAACCAAGCATCCAGCTAAGCTGTCTGGAGACTCCTGTCCAATGGAAAGATAATTAATGTGTGTTGTTTTAAGCTAAGTCTGTGATAATTTGTTACATAGCAATAGAAAACCGATAAACTCAACTCCTGACTAATTTGTTCATAGGATCACATATACTAAAACAAACACACAAATGGCAAACATATCCAAATATATTTATGCTTCTAAATTAACAGAAATACTCACATATGTGCACATCAGTGATATAGCTGGTAAAAACCAGCTCCTAGTCAAATGGGCCCTCATTTTTGATGGATACCTCTACACATAACCAAAAATGCCTCTTTCTTCCTTCCCTGAGCATTTAGTTTGGCTAAATGAGGATGAGGTTCTTAAAGAACAAAAGCAGAGAGGAGACAGTAGTGCTTCTTCCCCCTCTAGAACTTACCTAAGAATGGAAAGCAGGCATTCCAGTGCTATATGTAGCATTATTTTCGGTCTTGGATGCTACTGTACGTGCTTCTAAATGTAATGAACACTCTTTCCTCCCTATTCCTGTCCTTAACCAAAAGGCACTCAAAGACTGTGCTGCCCCAAAAACAGACACGCTTGCTTTATACCTACACAGACACAGCGGGAAATTTTAACAAAACTCCATCAGAAACTGTCCAAAATACTAGTGATGATATAAAATATTTGAATGGCACAATTAATAGACTTAGTTTTATGGATTTACACAGAATGCTGTACCTCAGAGAAAATTCACATACTTTCCAAATGCATATGCAACAGTTATACAAACTGAACATATACCAAAGCACAAAGCAATTTTCCACAAATATCAGGAAACCATATCATATTTAACACAAATTCTGACCAGAATGTCATAAAAGTATAAATCAATGACAAGGGAAAAAAACACCCTCCAAAAGCACTTCTAAATAAATCAAGAGTAAAAGAAAGAAAGAAATTTATAAATAAAATTTAAAATATTTAGCCTTAAAAGATAATAAGAGTATTACATATCCAAAATTGGGGGATGTGGCTTTTAGCAGACATTAATTTTCTACTCAAAAACCATTCTCCCCATCTTTATCACTGTGGAGTTAGGATGGAGACACTCATTTTAAACCACAAGATTAGGACTTGGGTCCACAAACCAGCTGTATTTTCTTGGTCTCAGGACACACAGGTTTAACTGAAGTGACTGAGAGCCAGTGTAACTACCATTGAATCCTCCACTGCTCACTAATCGTGGCAAACATCTTTAAATATGGTATAGAGAACATCAACCAAAAAGCTTGATGTATTGTACTGCAGTAAAATTAAAAACTTTTGCTCACTGAAAAAGAAAACAATATAATCAGATAGTAAAAAAGACAGGCCAAAGAGTAGAAGATATTTACTGTACTTGAACAAGGACTCATATCCAGAATAAAGAGCTCCTACAAGTCAATAAGGAAGAGGCAGATAACACTTTTTAAAAATTGGCCAAAAAACCTAAGCAGGTACTTTACAAAAGAGCATATCCAAGTAAATGATAAAAGTGAAAAAATACTCAGTATCATTAGTCATCAGGGAAATGCAAATTAAAACCATAGTGTGATACTACTGCACCTGCCACAGAATGGCTACAGTGAAAAACACAGGAAACACCCACTGTTGAGGAGGAACAACCACAACTCTCACACTGAGAGTGTGTTGTGGATGCCAACCACTTTGGAAAATTAAAGCTGAATAAATACGTATTTTGTGACCTAGCAATTCCACTCTTAGGCATATTCCAACAGATGTTTAATATGTGCACCTAAAGATATGTCCAAAAATGTTCACAGTGATCATATTTGTAAGAGGTCCAACCTGGAAACAACCCAAAGGTCAATCAATAGAATGGATAAATATGGAGTATTATACAGTGATGAGAACTAACTGCACCTTTATAACATCTATGACTCTTACAATCCATGTGAGAAAAAGAAGCCAGATACAAAGAGTACATATGACCCCATACTATATCCACTTACATGAAGTTAAAAAACAGGTGAAAACATACGGAGTTAGAAGTCAGTGTTGAGGTAGCGACTGGAAATGGACTAGAGGGAGTTTCTGTGGTTCTGGAAACATTTATCTGGGTGCAATTTACTTAATGAAAATTCACTGATGTGTGCACACTTAAGGTTTGTTGTATGTTATACTTCAATAAAATTCACATTAAAATATCATGTAAAAATATATAATTGTTGACTTGGGAAGGAATATACCTGCCAAGAAGGACTCCTTAGGGTTAACTGGGCTCAAATTCATAATCAGACTCTAGCAGCCATTGCGTACGGGGGTCTCTCATGCACTCTGCATTTCAGGGGAAAGCCATGAACTGACCTGCCAGCTTCCTGCACTGGGTTCTTGCTGGCTAAGCCAACCCTTATGAAGGAGTTCCTGGAATCAACTTTCAGCCACTGGGCTCAGACCTGCCTCATCCAATTGGAACTGCTCAAACTACACAAAGTCATGTGTTAAAAGAGTAGTCAGCTCCCTCACCTCTCTAGCATAGGAGTTGAGTCCCAGAGTCCTAAGGGACACAGGAAGATTTCCTCCAACATTCTTGACATTTCCTCCAAAAGCAATCTAGTCCACATAAATCTAATTCTGCCTCCAGCATAGATTCAGTTTTGCATTGTCAATTACATGGAAGTTTTAGCTTAATGCTTTTGAATAACTAAATAATCCATTTGAATGATTTGTTCTGAATAATGAAACACTTTGCCCTAAAGAGTACTGCAGTCTCCATCTCTTAACAAGTAGAAACCTCTTACAGATTTAAGGAGATGGTAGGCTTTTGTTCTGCTTTTATTCATTAAAGTTTAAAATAATAAATAAAATAACTACCTAAATGAAATTAAATTAAAGTTAAACGAATCAATTACATTAATTAAATAAATTACATTAAATAAATCAATTGATTAAATTAAAATTAATCAAATGGATAAAAGTAAGTGAAATAAATTAATAAAATAAATTAATTAAATTAATTGAATAATACAATAAATATATAAAATTAAAAATAAATAATATACTATAAATAAAATAAAAATTAAATAAATAAATAAAATGAAATAAATAAATAAAATTAACTTAAATAACTAAATAAAATTCATTAAATTAAATTGATAAAATTAAAACTAAAATAAAATAAAAATAAATTTAAATAAAACATTAAAGAACAAATAAACTTTCACAGTAATTCTATGTCCAGAAAATTATCTTACAGCTATACCTGAAATGTGCCCCAGATGATATGTATAAAGATGCTTATTGCAGCATTACTTGTAAAAGCAAAGCATGGAAACACACTAGAAGCTTAGTGTTAATGGTTAAATCAATTATAGCACAGCCATAAAGCAGACATTTGAATGTATGATGTATACCTCTATTAATATAAACAGACCATAGTATTTTAAGTGATAAAAGGTATAGGATGATACATAGAGTATTCTACCAACCACTTTTTTTAAAGTTTATATTAACAGTTTTGTTTCTGTAGAAGCTGACTAGGTGTTTGGGATGGGAGGGAGACTTTATTGCTCATCATTGTACATTTCTCCAAATTAGTATTATTTACTATGGGCAGGTATAACTTTTAAACAAAACTAGATAATTCTGAATAATGATAAACTCTTAGGGTCTGAGTTTTACTCCTGATACCCTACTCACATCTACCCCAGTTGGAATGTTTGGGGACACAGTTTAAGGACTCTAATGTGATATTTTGATTATCTTGACTTTATTGCACCTGTTAGCCACACACAGCTGAGACTCACACTCATATAAATCAACACACACACACACACACACACACACACACACACACACACACCCCCGCCCCATCCCCCACCCGACATCCAGAAAGGCGAAAACGCAAAGGAAGACCTTGTGAATTCCAGCCCTCCTCTCCACGCCATACCTACCTCTGTGGACTTCCAGCAGTGTGGGGTCACTTGGCAGCAAGTCACCTCTCTGGCATCTGTATTCACCAGTGTCATTGACACTGGCCGCAATGATTCTGTAGCTGCTGGTCAAGGTCCCAATGACTGTGCCATTGAGAGACCAGTGTGTAAACTGGTCCCAAGGCAGGCGGGGTCCCTTACACCATAATGTTACATTTTCCTCCGAAAATACACTGACCCACGGAGGCTGCAAGGTGATCACGGATTTTGCACGGTCTGCTTGGGGGGAAAATGGAAACAAAAACAGGTGGAGTAAAAGGAAAGGCCCTGAATAACTGGGGAGATTTTGTGGATAGCACAATGAAAAAAATGTATATTTACATATTAGATTGAAAAATAAGCAAGTGAGAACCTACAAATGCCAGCCATGAAGGATGTCTAGATCCGACTGCAGAGGCCTCTGTTCATGTTATGAAACCTGGGTGTTGCCAATTTGGGATTCCAAAAACCCACAGTGAAGCGGGGTAAAAAATGAAACAGGGTTTTAAACTGGTGCGACTAGGTTCAAGTCAATTTCCTATATTATCTCTGAGGGTTCATCTCAAGCCTTAATTAGCATCTGCACTGGAAATCAAGATTCAACCCCCTCACTTCCTAAGCCCCCAGCACATGCTTGATTCTCTCTGAGGAGAAAAAAAACAAACTCAATTTTCTTGTAAAGGGGACTAGTTTGGAGGATACTGTAAAACTCAGCAGAGCTCCTAGTGCATGTTTGCAGTTCTGGCCCTTTCTTGCTACATAGGCATTAAGTCCAGAGGTCAGAGCTCATTTAGAGTATCTTAGAGGGAACCCTTAAAACCCAGGACATCATCAAAATCATACTCTGAATATAGGAGACTTCATTTAATTTACAAATCTTTCCCTTTTCTCTCCTCTCCCCATATAGTCTTCTCTAGGATAATGAAACCTATCTTTTGGAAGCAGGGCGGTGCCAGAGGAAGAGAAGCTGAGTGAGACACGACTCACCTATTTGCCCACCAACTGGAACTGTAAGGCACCAAACAATGGAGACATCATCAGTTCATCCATGGAAGAAGAAAAGATAGGGAGAATTAGGGAGACAGACTTAATACAGATTTTAAGGGGCCAGCTTAGGTCTCTTTAGTTTCTCTCTGCCTCCTTTCCCAAAATCAGGTACCAATGGTACTGAAAAGCCTACAGGTGGTGATTGATGGGGTTTTATTTTGACATGACGCTTCCAGGCTTAATAGTACCTCTGAGTCTCCCTTCCCATCCTTTTGATAAAATAAATACAAACAAACCATGGAAGCACAAATATAGTTAGCTGTTTCCATACTCATGAGTTCCAGCCTAGGTAACCAGAGGAACACAAAAAAATCCTGAGTTCCCTTAGCTAGTGCCTGCCCCCTCTAGTTACCCTCTCTAAGCCCAACTTACCCCAAAGGAGCAGAGCTGTTAAGAGCCACATGTTATCTCCAAGGTGAGGGGACCAGTGACATCTGTAACGTGCAAGACATTGAAGAGAATCTGCTGAGGCATCTGGAGCCAAGATTAGGAAGGAGGAAGGAAATGGCCTCTTCTGACTATTCTCATCATGTTCCTTTTCTGGGAAACACATCCAGAATTCTTAAGGCATGCTCTTCCCTTTCCCGTGTTTCTTAGCCTGTCTCTCCCCCAGTTAGCAACTCTGGGTTTGGGGTTTATGAAATTCTGAGAATCCAAGGGAAGGGCTAATGTTTTACAACATTCGCTTCTGATTATATTCCCCCTTTACCAATTATGTTTCTTGGGAACAGAATATGGCAAATGCCCATTTTTTAAAATTGGTTCAAGCCTGGCTAATCCCTCCAAAACTGGATCAGTTGAAACCAGATTATTCTACGTCAGCCTCTATGAGACACGTGAGCAGTTACTCATCTACAAGAGCTCCTCTAATGCAGACTAGCCTCTGTCACTCTGGGAATTATGCAAGATTGGTTTCCCATTTTCATTTAAAATAAAAGCCATCTTCCTGAAAGACATTCTGAGTTTGGAGGTGTTTATCTTGCATGATATCTGCTGTTTTGAAGATGATTATTGAATTTTTTTACATTTTATTTTTGTCATTTCAGGTGAGAAAATAAATCCAATCTCTGCTACTCCATCTCTGCTGGATCTGGTCTGTTATTAATACTATTTTAGTTTCTAAGTAGTGGGTTCATAAGTGATCATTTGCTTATTGTGAATCATAGCCATATATACGTGCATTATACATCCTTTTGTATGCATAAAATATTACATAACTTTTTAAAGTTTTGAAAAAGAAATAAGGATTTATTTTTTCTCTCCCTGGGATGGAACAAGGGCAAAAGAAGTAGGAAGAGTTTGTGATCAACTTCCTACCTTCTCTATCTGTCTTCCTGACTCCTTCCTCTACCTCTATACTCAGCAACCCCAATCTTGACCAGCTGTCTACTGCCCATGTTACCATGACTCTGAAGGTGTTTTCTGACATACCACGATGGTTGAGGGAAGAGGTCCTAGCTTAGGGAACAGGAAAAATCAGAACTTTCACACCCTAAGATCCAACAAACCGCTGTGGTCTCCTCTTATAGTAAGTACTGTGCTGTATGAGGGCCTCTCAGATCAGTGCTGACTCACACTCAAACATTAAAAGTTAGCGGAGGGATTTATGTGCAGTTTCTGTAACAGCACGGACTAAGATTTAGAGTGATTTGATTTAAGCAGCTTAGGAAGAAATTTCAAGGGCACACAAGAAAATTAGCCAAAGGGCTTGATTCATATATTCATGATGACAGAGTGGGATTAGGGGGAAGAGGAAATGGACAAGGGCATCTACAATTAAAGTAATCTATAAAAGACAAATTATAACACTACCATAAATTAACCGTAAAGACTAGATAATAAAAATATAAAGTCATAGATGAGGATTACATTTTTAAAAGTTGATGGATTCACTTTGAGAATGCAAGAGCCAGAGAAAGATTTGCTACATTAAAAAATAAGAATAAGAATGAAAAAATAAACTGAATTTCTAATGGAAATTCAAAATTGAATCCATGGGGGACTTTTTATAATGAATAGTAGTTGAAGCAAAACTTCAGATAAAGTTTATCTGAATCTCCTGAACACAACTTCCAGCATTAGCAAATATAAAAAAGTAGTTTAGTCCAGCTATTCAAGGAATATTCTGCAGCATACAAAACATATTAAGGAAAAATTGTGCCATAGACACTTAGATACAATTATTTACCTAAAATTTAGTTGGTACATTTTAATGGTTCCTAAAAATATATGGCTGTTAAAGAAGGAATGGGTAGGGAATAAAGGATTACAGAATGCATTTTTACTATAACCAGTGCAAAAATAAAATAATTTTTTCTCAATTCTTAATGAGATGTTAGTTATTTTACCTTTTAAAAATATGTAAATTGTTCACAAATTATCTATTGTAAGAAGGAAACAGTTTTAGTTAACAGAGGCAAATAAGACCAAAGTCTATGAGAAAAGTGTATTTGTGAAATGATTTTAAATATATGAATCCTATGAGGGTGATGGTATTATAAAATATCATCAATATATGGAAGTATAAATGTCACATTTAGATGTCAATTCTCCTAATAGGCCTTATGAGCATCATGATTTTCATTGATCATTAAGTACTAGACACTGCTCTGCCTTAGTTAATGGTGTTTGTTCAATTATCTCTTGGTTCATTTACATGGGTTTAAACCTATCTCAGTGGCTATTTCCTCAACATCTGGAAACTACAGGTTCTTATCAGAAGAAAAGTATTTCACCTTTCCTTCACTTCTCTTCCATAGCAATACTCATTCCCCAATGTTTTCCTGGTCCATGAAACATATGTACACATTTTTCAAACAAGCAGCTATTTTACTACATACCAGAAATTGTAAGGGATGGGTGGGTACTATTATACACTATTTGTGAGACTGTAAAGGAAATCAGGCTGTCTGGTTTTCAATTCTGCTTTCACTTTTTATAACCTTGGACAAGTTACTAAATTTGTCTTTGACTACTTTCCTCATTTGTGAAATAGACATTAGAATAGTATCTACTCATAATTTAGTGTAAGGATTAAATGAGAAAATTCATATTCAAGTATATTTGCCTGATGCATAATAAACATTGTACAAATACATGCAACGATGATGATAATAATGATAGACATCTGACAGCATCCACCCAAAGAAAAATATTTATTTCCTTGGACTGAAGAATGCTGATTCTTGAACCGTGTCCTACAGAAATAAGTCAAAGGTTTAAAACTAGGTACAAGATTATTCATTGCATTGCTGGTCATAAAACATTAGAAATGACCTGCATGCCTATGCATTATGGTATATCTGTGCAGTGGAAAATTTTGAGGACAAAATAGTAAAATAGTTATAAATATAGAATTTAAATGTAAATGTTAAGGAGCTGAGGCTTCTCCTGTCTCTCTCAGAACATCCTCAGTTCTTCCTAATCTTGCTTTGCATGTGTATCGGTCAGCTTTTGCTCAAAAAAAATGTCAAAATCTCAGCGGTACACAGCAGTAAGCATTTATTTCTCCCTTGAAGACTGCAGGACAGCTGGGGCAGCTCCACCTCAGGCGACAGTGGCTAGGACAGCTCAGCCTCACAACAGCAAGAGCATGTTCTTATCGGGACCATCAGGGAAGCACAAGAGGGTGTGAAATAATATGTAACGCTTCCTAAAGTCTAGGGTGGACTTAGCACAATGCTCTTTCCACCCATCGTTCATTGGTTTCATTGGCCAATGAAAGTCAAGTGTATGAAACAAAGCCTAGGCTCAGGCAAGTATCCTCAGCCTCCCACAAGGCTGTGTAGATTTAAGGTGGGGTGATAATGTGGGCCGTCAAGTCAATCTACCACATTATGTTTCATCATTTTTAATTCTCTGTCAGTAAGATTGCTACCTAAGCCCCTTTTGCTTCCACTGAACTTATCCTAGTTTCTGTTAGTTTTTTTACCGTTCTTAACAGAATAGCTAAAAAAAACCCAACAACAATCTTTTTATATATTAACAACTCTGACTCAGGAAACAACTCACTTTTGTGGCATAGAGCTTCCCATCTATACTCTGATACTCCCTTCTTACAGATATTTCCGCTCACATACAGGAGCTACTTTTCTTTCCTATAGCATTTACATTAAATATTTAATTCCCTTGAACTTAGCCAAATAAACACCCCAAACTCAGAATGTCTTTCAGGAAGATGGCTTTTATTTTAAATGAAAATGGGAAACCAATCTTGCATAATTCCCAGAGTGACAGAGGCTAGTCTGCATTAGAGGAGCTCTTGTAGATGAGTAACTGCTCACGTGTCTCATAGAGGCTGACGTAGAATAATCTGGTTTCAACTGATCCAGTTTTGGAGGGATTAGCCAGGCTTGAACCAATTTTAAAAAATGGGCATTTGCCATATTCTGTTCCCAAGAAACATAATTGGTAAAGGGGGAATATAATCAGAAGCGAATGTTGTAAAACATTAGCCCTTCCCTTGGATTCTCAGAATTTCATAAACCCCAAACCCAGAGTTGCTAACTGGGGGAGAGACAGGCTAAGAAACACGGGAAAGGGAAGAGCATGCCTTAAGAATTCTGGATGTGTTTCCCAGAAAAGGAACATGATGAGAATAGTCAGAAGAGGCCATTTCCTTCCTCCTTCCTAATCTTGGCTCCAGATGCCTCAGCAGATTCTCTTCAGTGTCTTGCACGTTACAGATGTCACTGGTCCCCTCACCTTGGAGATAACATGTGGCTCTTAACAGCTCTGCTCCTTTGGGGTAAGTTGGGCTTAGAGAGGGTAACTAGAGGGGGCAGGCACTAAGGGAACTCAGGATTTTTTTGTGTTCCTCTGGTTACCTAGGCTGGAACTCATGAGTATGGAAACAGCTAACTGTATCTGTGCTTCCATGGCTTATTGGTGTTTATTATATCAAAAGTCTTCAATCTATCTTTAAGTAATGTCTCTATCTGGTAGGAGGCATGTATCTAATTTCTTTTTTTCCGTAGGTATACCCAACTGTCCCAGCACCATTAAGAAACAAATCACCCCTTACATAAACTGCCAATTTTAGCATAAATTGTTTTTTTATATATATAGTTCTGTTCCTATATTTGCAGTTTTCTTATCCTTGTGTCAATACCATATTGTCTTAATATTAGATCTTGTTGACCCTACAGGAGGAATACAGTTGTCAACAAGGACTCCTTTAGGTAACTGGGCCCAAATTTATAGTCTAGCAGGATACTGTTTGCGGAGGGTCTGTTCAGGGAAAAGCCACCAGCTGGCCTGCTAAGCCTCCTGCACTGAGTTCCTGCAGGCTGAACAGAACCTTAGAAAGGAGTTCCTAAAATCATAATTTAACCAATGGGCTGAGACCTATCCAGCCCAGTGAGCTATATCCTCATTTGCATTGTGAGCAACCAATGAGAGCAT